TTTGACCTGTGACCTCCAATTTCGCACTGGTGATGGGTTTCCTGCCCATCACACTATACACCGAATATTAAGAGCATAGGTCGAGCCGTTTAGATTTGTGCCGCAATTCTGCATTTCCTCCCTATACCTTAAGTTAAGGAGTGAATGTTCCCCCTTCTTTTACACCTCTTGACCTTTGACCTTTGACCCCCAGCTTCGACATCCCAACTCGTTTTCGGATTACCCCCCGACGACATCCCCAATATCGTGACCGTACGTAGAGCGGTTAAGATTTGTGCCCAACTGTTGAAGCACGGACGCACGCACGCACGCTCATGCGATTTTACAAGCTGCATCTGACTTCGTCAGATGAGCTAATAAAAGCAGGGTTCTCCAAGGGCACTTATAGCCTGGCGGCCTGCCAGGCTATCGTCGAGCCCCGCCATCCTAAAATGCACCTGCCATGCTAAATATCATAGCCGCCATGCTGGTGTATACACAAAAAGTTCAAACAATTAATACACGTTGGTCTCGATGCTACAGGTACGGCAGTGCCACACACAAGTACAAACAGTCACCCTATCCCTATCCCTAACCCTAACACTAACTCCAAAACCGACTCGGCTATCTTATATGTACGCATGTTATAGTACCAAAATTATTCTATGGTGTATAACCTTTTGCTTTAAATATTTTGCATCTGAACTGACAATCAATCCCAACCAACTGGTGTAGGCTAGCTGGCACCAATAGTGTTCATTTTCATACTTCTAATCCGAGTGTTTTCTAGCTCATCAAGAAATCTTAATCGTGAATTAAATTGTAAATTAATTTCCAACGGCATTATTACAGGGCAGGTAACCCCGTCTAACACGAGGTAGAGTAGACTGGTACACTTAAACAGTTGTTAACTGTTACACTGTTACACTCTTAATTATGAGAGGTGAACTCCATTTGGAACCAGCAAACCAGCAGGTTCACCCCTACATTTTGATATTTTTATTACATTAATTATTTTGAATTTTCCGATGGCTTTGCCCATGCAATACAAACATTTTCACCCCACATGCAGTGCTTCAAATTTACACACAGAGTGTCCCAGATTGCATCTCAGTTTCTACAATTCAAAAATTTTCCGGGGGGGGGGCGTGCCCGCGGACCCCCCTAGCAGTCAGTAGCACCCCCATGCTATAATTTAAAAGCTTGGAGAACCCTGAAAAGGTATAAAAAATTATTATCTTTGCTTTTTCTACTAATCTACTTATTTTTGTGTCCCAGTGCAGAAAACTTGTGGCACTAACACTTTGTCATAAAGTGGTCCAGTAAGGCAGACTAAGTTAGGTTTATGACTGATTCTGATTCTGTCTTATTGATATCTGTAACAGTACAATATATATATGCATTATTTTGCCTTTTTTACATTTAGTATAATAGAGCACCATTTTAGTCTTAAATTCCAAGAATATTAATCCCAAACTTTGGCACTGCACGAGATAAGCTAAATTAATCAAATTTGAGCTAGGCACTTAACATTTTTACTTTTATAGGGTGCTAGGTGGCTGGCTACTACTTACTCAATTTTCATCACTGGTATGCCACTACAAGATCTCAGTACTTGATACTCATCAAAATTTTATCAAAATGATTGACAACAAAATATTTCTTTTCACAGACTATATAAAGCTGTGCATATTCTTATATTACTTTGGTGTCAAGCAGGCTTCACTTACTGTTCAAGAGTAAATTCACCAAATCTCATTACACTAGCTACACACTACCCTATATGTGGGGTGATACTCCATTAGGAGTGTTCCCAACTTTAATGTCATTAATAATCATAATAACATATATATATATATATATATTATATATGTGGTCATGGTCATATATTAGTTTGTGGTTTAATGTCATTTAGGTTAGGGTTAGGGTTAGGCCAATAGGGTTAGGGTTATCAATCATTAATCATTAATCATTAATCATTAATGATATCAAAGTCAGGAACACTCCTAATGGAGTATTAGCCTATATGTGCAATATACTATGTGAGGCAATAATTGTACAGTTGTGTGAAAAGGTGACGTGAAATGTTCTCGCACAACTTCAACCTTTTTAAGGTTTAATCATCAAGCCACCCGCTCCTACCATGGGGTCCCTTACATATTCTGCTTGAACCGGTTCATTGCTGCTACATGCACACATGAAAGGTAGCATACAGCCTGGCAGGTACATATATGTACACAATGGACAGGTAGTGTGCCATTCTACTGCTACTAGCACTAACAAGCCTTTGCTTTGCTTTCTAACATGCTGTAGATATAGTTCTGAGCTGCTGCTTTCTTATCAGCCATACCCTATTTACCAGTATAGAAAATATTAGATCGTTAACAAATACAAGACCAATATTTGTGTCAAGTATAATCGATACTGTTGTAATATTGTTCTGACTTTTCATTCCTGACTAGACAATCTATTTGGTAATACATGGCTTTGTCACTTTTCTTAACATGTTACCCGTGAATAAAAAATAGTATAATTATATATATATATGCAATTAATAATCATTCATAACTGATAATAGTAGTAATGACTACTTGTCACACTACTAGATTTTAATGAAAACAACTATTTTTTACACACCCACAAAAATAAAAATCTGCAGTAATAATATATATGTTCTTACCGATTAGATCATATATGCTTCTTTTTACTCGTTCATAAAAATTACTAAGAATTTTGTGTGTTATAGTATATAAAATGGAAAATGTACATGAACACACTCAAGTTTTTTTATTTTCTGGACAATTAATTTATAAGTGGTGCAACCGTGCAACCATGACACATTAAATCATAACTCATTAACAAAGAGCTTATAGAATTACTATGACTAACAATAAATGTAACAAAGGATTTATTATTACGCATATTCTTTTGATATACTGACACAACGCCTACAGTAATGTCCTCAATAGCTTTGTAGTTAGTATCACCAACTGGCAATCGAAAGACTGGTGTTTATCTCTTTATTTTCTTTTGCAAATTGCATAATATGATTATATAATGAAATATAATGAAATTATTATTTCTATTCGCCCAATAAATTCCTATAATTTCCTAGGATTGATATACATTATGTTTGTGCTAATGTTTTTTTTCATAGCCCCGTAGTAAGAATCTCAGGGTTACATGGTAGAGCTGAGCAGTATTATCATTACCCAGGGATAGCAGAACACAGCTGTAAGACTAAACGTCTATACAGTGTCTAACGTCGCTCGTGCAATACACGAACCTACCTTAGTACCTGGTATAGAGCGGTGAACAGTAACAATGTCAATAGACCTTATTGCTAATCGGTAAATATCACCAGATGGCGCACCACCGCAAAGCATGTTAGGATAGAAAAGGGGGCATCGATCGTCGCTCATAGGTAATATACGCACGGCTATGGGTGATAGGAAAGGGTACTAACTATCATATCTCACGAACGAGTCGAGTTACATTTCTAGAAATCTAGAGGAATATAGACACATCTCTTAGCTATAATCTCTGTGAATTTTCAGTTTGTTGAAGCACGATTAGTCTAATTAATTACCAAATATATGCGAGCGGTATCGGGCATAGGCGCCTATTGCGTGCAGCCGGCTATACGCACGGCTATGGGCGATAGGAAATGGTACTAACTATCATATCTCACGAACGAGTTGAGTTACATTTCTACAAATCTAGATGAATATAAACACGTCTTAGCTATAATCTCTGTGAATTTTCAGTTTGCTGAAGCACGATTAGTCTAAATAATTACCAAATACAGGGTTCTCCCCAGGATGAAATTCAAACAGGGGGGAGGGGAGGGGAGGGGGAGGAGGGAGGGGGGAACTAGGGGGGTCCGGGGGCGTGTTTTTTTACCGTACCACTAATTAATGCGTAAAATCGTCACCACACCATAGACAGTATTTGGGGTTCTTGTATATATAAGATAGCCAAGTCGGTGTACAGTTAGTGTTGGGTGTGGGACAGGTTGACTGTTTGTACTTGTGTATTGTCTGCAGTGCATGCGTTGCACGGTAAAAATACACGCGCCGGGTGTCCTGGTCGAATGGGAATTCTTGACGATCGATTCCCTCGCTGGCAAACTTTTATTGTGGTGGAATTTAAACGGGGCGGAGGTAATTTAAACGGGGCGCAACGATTGAAACAGGGGGGAGTTTTCCCAAACGGGGCGCGCGCGCCCCGTTTGCGCAACGTAGGGAGAACCCTGCAAATATATGCGAACGGTATCGCGCATGCATACTGACGCCTATTGCGTGCAGCCGGCTGCTAACCGCTCATGGCAGTGGCGGCCCTAGTAATGCCCCTTTTCCTATCCCATGACGCATTTTGCTGTTCCGATTGGCGATAAGGCATATCACAGACTCGGTCAAAAACCCAAATTACATGAACGTTATTAATATTACTATTAGTATTACACTTAAGTTAAACTTAAGTTAAGGTCTAAAACGAGAACCTCCAGTTCAAACACCTTATTGCTGTCTTGCACAGTTCGTTTACTTCAAGAAGTTGGGGTTAGTTAAGTAGTTTAGTATTAATTTACTTAGTTTATGATGTATTGTATACAAACTCCGATTCTGCGTATATTCATAATATTGACATCAATAATGACAATATTGTCTATTGCGTATTGATATTTTGAAAGGCAAGCCGAAAATCCAAATATAATTGTTACTGTTATTATTAATAATACTAGTAGATATATCAGTCTTATCATTATTAGTAGTAGTACTAGTAGCGGCAGTAGTGCAAGTCTCATACAGGCTGCAAAGAACTGTTATTTACTACAACTACAGTACAAGTTGAAGTACTACTACTAGCACAATCAGTGACAGTGCCAGTGGTTTTACTACAACAAGTTAGACGTCGGCTTTCACCACCCAAATAATAAAGAACAGCAGAAATTGTCAGTCGACATATATTCTGTAAAACCAAAGGACGGATTTTTAATTAGATTAAAGACATGTGCCACTAACCTTGGTATACAATTTGGGGCTGTCCTATCCACTTCCCACGTGGCAAAAAGCTTCATTGGGACGGGTTTTACACCCGCCGGACTCGTCATCTTCTGTATTTTGTCCGCCATGGTAGCAGTTTCCTTCCCATTAACAATAGACCATCCGATTCACATCGCACCCATGTTACCGCACAAACACACGCATAATATCACCAACCCATTTAATTGTAGCATATTTACTCGTAGATACAATAAAGTAACTAAACACGAGTCCTACCTTCTATACGCCAAATTTATATATGCATAATATTAGATAATAAAATGTGTTTTTGCTTTTATACCGTCTCCTGAGTATTGGAGCAGGCCCCACAGTTGCGGAGTGTAGGGTGGCACGGCCGCACGGGTAGGTAAGGTGGTAAGGTAGAGCCACAGAATAATGACTATTAAGTGATTTCTTTTTGGCCCAGTGGAGGAAGGGGTAAGGGTTAGTAAGGCAATACTAACTGAGCAATATAACAGTTTATTATATTTATTTTATTATTAAACGATTGATTATATTATATACCATTGATTAACCAATGGGGAATCGTTTACTCTATGTTCTAGGGTTATTTTCAGTTAATTTAGGTTAAAATTACGCTACATAAAAAGTTTCATGGTTTAATCACCATTAGAAATATTATTAAAAAATGTTTTAAAACTAACGACTACAGTTTGATTACAACGACGGTGGCGCCACTCAAAGCGCACGATCTGATAAGATGCGCAAAACCACTTTTCAGCCAAGGGCTACAGACCGAGGGTGTTTCTTATTTATTAATTTCGTCTCCACGACGAACCTTAACTCGAGTTAAGCATCTACACAAGGCCTTAACTCGAGTTAAGGTAACTCGAGTTAGCTTAACCTCGCCAGTCGATCGAGGTTAAGCTAACTTGAGTTACTTTAACTCGAGTTAAGGCCCGTGTAGACGCTTAACTCGAGTTAGCTTAACCTCCACGATAGGCGGCAGCACTAGTAAGATGTACGTACACACGTACGCACGCACGCACGCACGCGTACTTGCACACGCACGCACACACTCATGCACGCACGTGTACGTGCACACGCACGCACGCACGTGTACGTGCACACGCATGCACGCACGCACGCACGCCTACGTGCACATGCTGTACACGTGCGTGCATGAGTGTGTGCGTGCGTGTGCAAGTACACGTGCGTGCGTAAACGTGTACCTGCGCACGCGCGCACGCACGCACACACTCATGCACGCACGTGTACGTGCACACGCACGCACGCACGCATGCACGCACGTGTAAGTACACACGCATGCGCGCACGTGTACGTGCACACGCACCCACGCACGCATGCACACACGCACGTTTACATACACACGCACGCACGCATGCACGCGGACGTGGACCGTGCACACGCACGCACGCACGGACGCGCGCACGCACACGCGCACGCACGCACGCACATGTACGCACTCAGCGATGGCACGCACGTGTACGTGACACGCACGCACGCACGCACGCATGAACGCACGAACGTGTACCTGCGCACGCACGCACGCACGAACGTGTACTTGCACACGCACACACACACTCATGTACGCACGTGTACGTGCACATGCAACGCACGCACACATGCAGCGCACGTGTACGTGCACACGCACGCACGCACGCATGCACGCACGCACGAACGCACGTGTACGTACACACGTACGCACGCACGCACGCACGTATACGTGCACACGCAACGCACACACGCACGCACGTTTACATACACACGCACGCACGCATGCATAATAAATCGTAATAATCGCTATCGGGTGTTGTCGTGTAGACGCTACATATCGCTAACTCGAGTTAACGCTTAACTCGAGTTAGCTTAACTCGTGTTAAGGTTCGTCGTGTAGACGAGGCTATAGTTTCAGTTATAATATGATACAATTACCCTAAAATGAATATCGTTTGGTTAAATAGCATTTAGGTATAAATATAATTGCACTTTTGTGATTAGCCCTCGGTCTGTAACATGCAAAATAAATTGTCAAATACGCAACTTTTTGGGGGTGGCAGCATGGTCGCGGGTGTCATGGCGCCGTTCAAATTTCGTAGCGTTGATGTGTAATTAATTATAACAATTAAATTAGGTATCTGGTAACGAATACGTGTGGGTATAGACGATTTGTTATACAGTAAGTACAGTTGTATGCAGTAAAATCCTAGTGTCTACTATCTCTTTAACGTCGGCTCTAAGTCATTTCCTTTGGGCGACAGGTTGCCGACGTGTCCGCGCCCCATCCCTGTACATTGGTATAGCAAGGGACCTTCGGCAGAGCAGTGCCACCACATTGAAGTAGTGAGGGTGCATTTTTCGATGCGCACCTTCTACAGGCATGCCACGCTCTTAATTAAATGCTTAACGTCTGCCATAAGTCCTTTCCTTTGGACGGCAGGTCGCCGACGTGTCTGCGCTCTATACCTGTTCATTGGTATAGCAAGGACCCTTCGGCAGCGCATTGCCACCACATTAAAATGACGAGGGTGCATTTTCCGATGCGCACCTTCTCTAAGCTAGCCACGCTTTAAACTAAATGCTTAACGTCGGCCCTTCAGTCTTTTCCTTTGGGCGACATGTCGCCGACGTGTCTGCGCCCTATCCCTGTACATTGGTATAGCAAGGGACCTCCCGCAGAGCAGTGCCATCACATTGAAGTTGCGAAAGTGTATTTTTCGATGCGCACCTTCTCTGTGCATATGCCACCCTCTAAATTAAATGCTTAACGTCGGCCCTAAGTCATTTCTTGTGGGCGACAGGTCGCCGACGTGGCCGCGCCCTATCCATGTACAGTGGTATATCCAGGGACCTTCGGCAGAGCAGTGCCATCACATTGAAGTAACGAGGGCGCATTTTTCGATGTGCACTTTCTCTATGCATGCCCCCCCTCGTGCGACGTGTCCGCGCCATATCCCTGTACGTTGGTATAGAAATGGACCGTTGGCAGAGCAGTGCCACCACATTGAAGTAGCGAGGGTGCATTTTTCGATGCGCACCTCTTGTAGGCATGCCACAGTCCAGATCAAATGCTTAACGTCGACCCTACATCGTTTCCTTTGGGCGACAGGTTGCCGACGTCTCCGCGCCCTATCCCTGTACATTGGCATAACAAGGGACCGTTGACAGAGCAGTGCCATCACATTGAAGTAGCAAGAGTGAATTTTTCGATGCGCACCTTCTCTATGCATGCCACCCTCTAAATTAAATGCTTAACGTTAATCCTAAGTCATTTCTTTTGGGCGACGGGTCACTGACGTGTCCGCGCTTTATCCCTGTACATTGGTTCTAGCAAGGGACCATCGGCAGAGCAGTGCTATCACATTAAAATAACGAGGATGCATTTTCGATGCGCACCTTATCTATGCATGCCACCCTCTAATTTAAATGATTAACATAGGCCCTAAGCAGGGGCGGCGCCAGAGGGGGGCAGGGGGGTGCGGTCGCCCCCCTATTTTTTACAAGAAAAAGAAAAAGAAAAAGAAAAGGAAAAGAAAAAGGGAAAAGAAAAGGAAAAGAAAAAGAAAAAGAAAACAAAAAGAAGAAGAAGAAAAAGAAAAAGAAGAAGAAACATCTTGCAAATGATAGGGGAGGGCATAGGGGGGGGTCGCCCCCTATCATTTTCTTGGAAATGATGGGGGGGTTCATATGTATCCAAGCTGTGTCTGATATGGTAATTTTATGAATATTAATCAGGGCCGTAGTGGCCGCCACGGTAGCACGGCACTGCCGTGGCACTATTTTGACAAAAAATATCGTGCAGGGAACCAAGGAGCAACATATACCAAGGAGATGAAACCCCGGGGGAGGGGGGCACTCACCCCACATTATGGTAGGTATGTGCCACTGCGAAGTCAAAAATGGGGGGAGGGCTCTGGAACTAACTCAGACCTGAAAATGGGGGTCTCTGGAACTAATGTTTGTTGAATGTGGTATGCTCTGGAACCGGCTATGTTCGAAAATGGGGGTCTCCGGAACTAGGATTTCGTTGAAATTCAATGCTATGAAACTGGACACGTTAAAAGGAGGGGGTCTCCGGAACTA